TATATATATTTGAAAAGTGACTGAACATTGCTGTGAGAAGTAAACTAGTTTCAGATTTTGATTGCTACAAATATATTTACATTCTTGCTGACAGACATGCTTGCAAATTGTTATTTGGCCAAAAGTAAATTAAAATCACTTACAACTAGGCTTGGGGGGGATTACATTTTTAGGGGTAAATGTCAATTTCACCATACACAAACTGATGACAATATATTTCTATTGATAATTAAAATTTACAGATAGGTACTGAAAATGCTGCATGAGAACTTAGGATATAGTAAGGTTCAATGCTGACCATATCTGTTTTTACAATTATACAGCTTTAACTTTTTGAATCTTAACATCCACTGTCATTAAACAACTGCCAAATGTTCCCTATAATTTCCCACAACTGTGAAATGTAAATTTATAAAAAGAAAAAAATAGACATAATCCATCAAAATTATAATAAAATACTATTTTTTCTAAGTCTACTCATGGCAATGTTTTGAGGTGTGGAGTAGAAACAGGAGAAAGCAGATCTATCCCCCAAGCCAGACAGAAACAATAGGGATGAGAATTTGAAGAGATCTGAGTATTTCAGCCACTAGTTTTTAGTGATTACAGTTAATAAAATTTAAAAGCAGCACTTCTGCCCCCTTCTGTTTGTGTTTTTCTAGACCGATTCTAGAGCAGAGATAGGCAATAAGACAACATCAGTTTGCCAGGATTAGACCCTCTTGGGCCACTGCTGCTATATTTACATGCACCTCTGAAGGCATGGGCGTTTGCAGCTCCTGTTGGCTGCACATTGCTGTTCCCAGCCAGGACACTGTCTCCTGCAGCTCCCATTGGCTAAAAATGGTGCCAGTACCTGCAGAGGCACAGGTCAAAGTAGAAGCGGCTGCCCTTCAGGGACTAACCCTGGTGAACCAGATCTGGCCTATAGGATCTTTGCCTACTGCTATTCTAGAATAATGGGGGCCATATGCACCTGAAGAGTTTCCCTCTTCAAACTCCCTTTTGGGGCACTATTGTTTATCTCCAAACCTCCTTTTAGGATCAAAGTGGTGTGTTTACTGGTGGAGCAGAATAAAACAGATGTGATTTTAATCAGTTTCATTTTGCCGCTGACCCTCAGATTAAGCTACACCAACACTAGCCTTCTTATCTGCTGGAACTGCTTTTAAATCAGTGGTGATTTTGGGGGGAAAAAACAAACAATTTGTAACCACTCTATGTTCCACTAGCCTCTTCCAACTTCAAAAGTTAACACAATTGGTTCTTCTGATGTTCTACATACTCTAAACCTAACATGGAAGAGGAAACAGTGAAATTAGAATCTGGGTATCTAGACTCTCTTTCAGTAGTATTAAGGGGAGAATTAATCTCTTGTTACACAAGAGAACTATAGTATAGAGGGAAGGGACACTAGGATATTAAATGAAAAGACATCACTGAGCACCTTGAATCAATGAGAATGAAAGAACCCAGCCCCCCTGAAAGTTAGCCACAAAACATATGTAGATTGTAAAACAGAGTACAACACCTTGCTTCAGATTCAATGACTTTGTCATTGTTTAAGCCTACTAAATTTTGTATGTCCTTGTGTATGTTTCAAAGCCTTCATTTAAAATATAAAAATTACATACTTACATTATATGGCAAGGTTCATTTCTGTCCTTCAAGCAATGCCCTAGTTCCCATTTCTTTTTTGTGGGAAATGTTGTTTTTATACACTTTGATCCAGCATGAGTATTTTTTACGCCACACCAGGGAGCATCTATAAGAGTTAAATATAAATAAAATAATTTATTAATTTCATATAATTGTTTGCTCCTCTGTTGGTTCATGTCCTCCCCACCTGCCACAGACCAAAGCTTATTTTAGAAATCAATCTCCTTAAGCACAGCTTCTCTCCCAAATGATAAAAGCATGATTATGAGATTATTTAATTTAACATCCATCATGGTGAATCAATTACTTCAAATTACTATTCCATTATATTACATTCTGTGCGATTTTTACATACAGGCAGTCCCCGGGTTACGTACAAGATAGGGACTGTAGGTTTGTTCTTAAGTTGAATCTGTATGTAAGTCGGAATTGGCGTCCAGATTCAGCTGCTGCTGAAACTGATCAGTTTCAACAGCGGCTGAATCTGGATGCCAGTTCTAACTTACATACAGATTCAACTTAAGAACCCCAGGCATCCCCAAGTCAGCTGCTGCTGAAACTGATCAGCGGCTGGGTTCAGGGAG